CACTAAACTGGGTCTTCTCAACATCCGTCGGAAATCACTGGACCTCAGCCCACTATCATCGAACCTGCACTCTGCTGCTGAATCGTTGTCGGATATATACCTTGATCTTGTGTGTGTGTGTGTGTGTGTTTGTGTTCATAGTGAAAGTGGATGAAGATCTATAAGTTTGTGGTTTAATCAAAGTTGCAAGAAAAAAGTGAGAATCGATTGTTTGAGAATGGAGAAATCGGAGGAATCGATTGTTTGCAAGAAAGAATTCGGATCTCTGATGTTAAAATTTGATGTTGAAATGGATTATGAACAAGGTTTGGATCGCCGGTGGGTTTGCACAGGAGTGAGGCCCAAATTAATTAATTATTTTCGTTTTCATTTTAATTAAATGGAAAAGGCATAAAAAATATATCACATAATAGTCTTTTCAATTTACTGATGTACCAAAGACGCAAAGAAACAAGCTTAAAAGGACGACGAAGCCAAAAAAAATCGAGGTTTGGACTAAACCTCGGAAAAAATACATACAACATTGACCATTTTTCAGTTTTGTCAAATTTTAATCTGGTTTATATATATTTTTCTTATGTTCGAATTCAACACGTATTGATAAATTTTTTTTACAAAATTTATAAACTCATTTATTTCAATCAAATCAAAACTAAATCTCTGTTACGAAAACAAAGCTTTTTCCCAATGAACTGGAGGCTTGTTTTTCCAAAAGCAGAACTTTAAGTTTAAACTTTCAAAAAACTTCTAAAATTCGCATGTCCAACATATGTATAGAGTTTAATAAAAATATTTAATTATAATTAATGTGTATAGAATATTGGATATTAAGTTATTAACAAATAACCATATTTTTAAATTAATCTTAAAGGAAATACTCAAAAAATATATTTTTTGAAAAATAACCAAGAAGTCCGTGGTGGTTCATTCCTTACTTACCAAAAAGTTTTTTTTTATGATGAAAAATACATTTCGGACCGAACTTTCGGATCCAATCGGAAATTCTGGATTTTAGGAAAATAATTTTCAAAATCCGATGAACAATTTCAGAATTTCGAAAAAATACTTTGTTTTATTAATTACTAAAATCTAAACAAAACTAAGGAAATATAGAAAGTGTATACGATAAAGCATACCAATTTGTTATGCCTGCAACCTCCATGATACTTTCTACTACAATTAAAGATAATAGGGAATAACAAGAGATTCAAATGATTACTTAATTGAATACTGAATACAGAATGACAAGATAACAATTCGAGAAGTTATCATTCTCGAAGAGAAAGTTCTAACAAAACTCAGTTGACCTCACACAAACAATTAACATTCCTTAAATACAGAATATTCAGGTAAAAATCCCTATTCTACCCTTGGCCCCCGATATGTGATCCCAAATGTGTCCAGGTCCTTTGCGATCCCACCATTTGTTTTCTTTGTCTTATTTATACTTCTTTTGTAGGTGAAGAGTAAGGGTGGGACATCAATGTACTATCATTTTGTCATCTTCCAGTTTTACTAGGTTCTCACTTGAAACTAATGATTTGATAGATGTTCAATATGATCTACTTTTGCAATCAAAATAAAATGTGTGATTGAAATAAGGTTGTGGATTGCAATGAAACTTACCATCTACTTATTTTACTCTTATTTGTTCTTTTGTTGGCCATGAGATACAAACTTGTAGTATTTTTCATGGTAAAAAAGTGGTTGAATCCATCTTCTTTGAATATCTTGTCCAATGGTGAATACCGTAGGTTCCTTTAAATCTGAGAACAACTAATGCTTATCATTTGACGATATATATTTTGATAAATGGATTATAGTATATCTTATCGTTGACTAGTTACTTAAATGGGTTAAATACAATAAATAACAACAAAAGTTAGTGAAAACTTTTTCTGGTCACTATTTGGATATACCACTAACAACTTTTATGGTCACTAATTAGATAAAATAGTGAAGGGTTTTTATCGTCACTACTCAGGTAAGACTCGTCACTAATTGGATAAAATAGTGACGACTTTTATTGATTAGTGACTGATAGGTGCATTTTATGTATCTATTTTGCACGTCTATTTCTATCTTTTCATTGCATTTTACTTCATAATTCTTGCATTTAGTTAATTATTTGGCACTTGCATGTTTTATCCAGAATGCCTGGTAATTCACTAATTTTGATTAATTTTCTAGGCATTATGGAGCTTGGAGCATCGAAACTATGGATACGAGCTTGGAACTTGGAGCTTGGAGCTTGGAGCATTGGAGCATGAAGAAAATATGAACCGGTCATGCCATGGAAGAAAACCTGAAGACGTAACCCGAGTCGTTGCATATCATCATAACAAATGACTACGTTTGGAACACGGTTCGTGTCACACCGACACAGGTCGTGTTTGTCCTTTTTCATATTATATTTGAGCAACATGACTCGTGGTGAAGCTAGACCGAAGACGTAACCAAGTCTGAAGACTTATTGGAGTTTTAGAAACACATGGGCAAAAGGCATGGCCATGACAAAAACGCATGGTCTTATGGAAAGCACGTGAGGAGTTAACTGTGGAGCTAAATTGGAGGAAGTCGCCATTTTTTAATGAGACAGTTTTTGGAGAACAGAGGGCGATTTTTGGGAAAAAATTTGGAGCTCTTGAATACTATTAATCATTGCAAACACTTTTGATTTCCATTTTGTAAGAATTAAGCATTTCAATTCCATCTTTATTCTTGTTTGATTTGTTCTTAGCCATGTGTGGCTAAGAAACCCTGGTTTCTAGTTCATGTTCAAAAACATGTTTACTATTTAACTTGAAGCATGTGATTTGATGTTTGATTTGTGATTCTATTAGTGATTATGTTTTTGTTTAAACTAGAACCCTTGAATTTGATTTGTGTTTGATTGGCCACTTTCATAAATTGAATTTTGGTGTAGTTAATTAACTTTTAGGGCACCTAATAGTTCTATTAAGTTAATAATTGGTAACAAAAAATAAGTTTTCTTATTGTAGAACATATATCACATGTTTTCACACTTCCGAGCGTATGAGAAGAAATGAACATTGTTGGGAAGCTTGTATAAAACTTAATGTAGTTTTTCAATACAATTTAAGAGCATGTTTAGGTTGAATTAGTAAAGCTAGGTCTACTCAAAGAGCGTATTTTGGTTAGATAATTTGGCAAGCAAGAGGTATTAGAGCGTGTTAATATCTTTCAGTACCAACATATAATAACAATCATGAATTACATCAAGTTGTAATCAAGTTAAATGTCAACATTGAGAACTAGAACTGGAACCATTTCAACAACCTGTTTACAAATCTATTTCCTTGTATCCCGTGTCTCTGTGGTTCGACCTTGCTTGCCTTGTACTACTTTTTAGTGCATTAAAACAGTGTATTTGAAGTCTAATATACCACTAATATTTGTTAGGCTTGACACACCTAACAGTGACACATTAATGACGGAACGGATCGTCACGGATTTTTGTGACGAAGATATTTAGTCACTAATTAGTGACCACTTATATATTTTAGTCACTAATCAGTTTAGTGACAGACCTAGTGACGAAAATTTTGGTCACTAAATCACTTACTGACGACTCTTTCTACGATCATGATTGATCAAGTCACTTATTGACATTTTTTTTGTAGTGATGGGTTGTAAATAATTAAAAAAAATAGTTATCTGTTGTCTAAAAGATTTACAAAATGTGAAGAAATAGATACCACTGAATTTTAAATATTATTATAAGAATACTTAAGATATTTAATTAAAGTTTTAATATACTTAACAAGATTAATATCATTGAAGGTTATATTAATATTTTAAGTAATTTTCAATTATAATATATTAATGTGAAAGAGCCCCTTTCTAAACTTTTGTATTTCTAAAAGACCCAAACTTTCATACTCGACAATTGTTATCCCAAAACATGCTACTTGCATATTCATAAAAACAATATTTTATATTGATAACTTGATTACATAAGACTGGATACAAACCGACTATTACAAATTTTTATATGTTACATAACTTCCCAAGATACTATAAGTTATACATACATGAGTACAAAATACAATAGTTTCATACTATTCAAAAATCTTCCAACAGTATACGATTATACTGGTTACTTATCTCCTGCAAATTTGTTAAACATTGAGAGGGGTAAGCGGTGACGCTTAGTGAGTTCAATAATAGATACAATATAACGTTATGTCATATATACACTTCAATATGGCGGAAGCAAGGAGGAACAAGGAACAACAAAGGCATATGTGAATAATGCGAAAAGCTTTCCATATCAATCAATGAGACATAACAATTTCCATACTTGATATACAATCAATAAAGTTTCAGCACAAGTGGCACAGAAAATACTCAGGAATATCATTTTGCTAGATTATTCAGGCTTTCAGCCTTATCTTAGCATACTGCCGAAGCCAAAGTGATGCCTATGTCATACACTTCATGGTCAACGGTACATACCAATACCCAAGTGATGCCTATGTCATACACTTCGTGGTCAGATGTATAGTCTTGCTATAAAAATAGCAGAAATAATAACACGAGATGATAACATGGAAAAACACATAGCACATATAACACATAACATACAATTGTTCCTATATATTAAACTCACCGTGAAATAACCGGGGGTTAAAATAGTAATTTGGGCAGCACTTCGGCTCTAATTATAACTTCTTTCGTTGAAAACCGGGAGTTTTCTTGAAAACCGGGCTCTGCGAAGGTAGAGCTTCAAAACCGAAAAGATAAATTTTTCGGGCTTCTCGGGAACTTCGGGGTGTGTTTCGGGCGTTGGAAATAATCTCGGGGATTCGGGGGAAGTTGAAATAGTGGAAATATGGATTTAGGGGTGAAAATGTGTAAATTTCCTAACATTAGCCGGGAGGGTTCGCAGCTACTATTTATAGTAGCGAGGTCCAGAGCTTCGGCACGCGGCAGCTGGAACGAGGCTCGGATCCGGAGGAGTCATCTGCGAGGCTCGGATGGCAGGCGTCGGAACCGGATTGGTCCAGCGCTTCGGACACTGGGCGAAGTCAGAAGCGAGGCGCGTCGGAAGGCCATTGGACCACTTCTGCTGTCAAATCAGCAAGCGACACGCGTGTCGGGCACGGGGTATGTATGCGAGGATCCGATGACGTGGCCTATTCCGGACCTTATCCTTGCGAGATTCCTCGGAAAATGAGCCCAAATCTTCTAAAATCCATAACTTTCGCATACGGGCTCCGTTTTTGACGTTCTTTATATGCACGCGTAGGCGAGAATATATTCTACAACTTTCGTTTAGACTTCGTCGGATAATTTGGACTTTATTTTTAATATTATTATTTTTAACAGACCGGGACAGGAAAATCCGTTAAAAATTCATAACTTCTTCATCTGACGTCCGTTTTCGTTTGTCTTTTTACCGTTGTACTACTATTGACGAGACCTTCGATTCTCGTTTAGGTTGTATCGGCTAAAAATCACTCGATCTAAAATTCGAGTTTTTAGCTGTCTACTATTAAGCTGAAACTTAGAAAAATCATAACTTCCTCATACGAAGTCAGATTTGGGCGTATTTTTTTATGAAAATTCTCGGTTTAACAAATACTACGACTTTCATTTAGATCACCAAGTCTAAAAAGTAGTTTATCAAAAACTCACTTTTTACGTCATTCGGCGTCGTGCCGGTTTTGTCACGGATCTTCGATTGGTCATAACTTCTTTGTTATAACTCAGATTTCGATGAGGTTTTCGCCTAAATGTTTCTAACGAAATTATCTACAACTTTCATTAATAAAATTTTACTTATTTCAAATTTTATATTTTCGTTAAATTTCGATATTTATCTTTTAATTGGAATCTCATAAGACTTCCAATATTTTCCGAGTGATTCTAAACATAGTTTTACATTATTTATAGTAAAAACTATCCGTTAGAACTCAATACTCAATATCACATAATATTTCATAATATTATTTACTTAAAACACGATTTCAAAACGTGTATGTTACATAATGGAATATTTAAAGTAATTTTCAATTATAATATATATCATTCCATTAATGAATTAATGAATCATGAAAAAAAACTGCTCCGGTATGTAATGAAAATTACTATAGGAGAGAAAGGAATGTTATATTCAATTCCTTGATTGCCACTTAACATGATTTTTTTTTATCTCGTCGTAACGTTTCTTTCTATTTTACTATTAATTGAATGTTCATTTGCTCGAGAGATACATTCACGTTGGATATTTGATTGGTGTGTCATTGGTACTCAATTATTTTCCAAAGTGGAGGATATAATCAGGTTTGCGGCTCAGTGGGGAACTGCACTTAGAAAAAGAAAATCCTATTAAACATTGTTTATGGCGTTCTGTGGTGTATTTGGATGAAACATGATTTTTAACAAAACTCCTCCAAAACCTTCCACAACAGCGGACCAACCGACCAAGGGATTACTATGATTTAGGGGTGGATTAAACAGGGTAAAATGGAAAATTGCAATCGGGTGAAAGTGGTTTAATAACCCATTTAGCATTCTGTAACTTCCCCCCTTCCCCAGAGTTGCGTATTTCTTAAATTGTATTCTGTACTTTATAACATGTTTTGGGTTGTGGCCTGTTTGGCATCTTGCTAATTTGGTCTTTAGTAAAATCTCGCCCGTTCCAAAATAATAATAATAATAATAATAATCAAATGCTACTCTAGAGTGGAAATGGGAGTTAATCTGTCATAAATATCGTTGAACTTTGTTCTTTTTTCTTTTGTTCTATGTCTCTTTCACGGGCGGATTTAGGGGGTTACCGGTGGCACCGGCAACCCCTGACTTTCCCGGCCGCAGTGGAAAAATTTTCGAAAATTTTTAAAAATTTTTATTTTTTCTACTATCGTGCAACCTCTAACTTTCCCGTGCAACCCTTACTGTGAAATTTTGCGTCCGCCCCTGTTGAAAAAATTGTAATATTAAACACTTCAAAATGAAATTTCGGACATTAATAAAAAGAGTTTTTTGAAAAAAAAAAACTCCGAAATTATAATAATTGAAAAAAAAAATGAATAGTTCATAAAAAGAGGGTTTTTTTTTTGTTAATAACAAAAATAATCTAAAACAAAACATAGAATATTGAATGTGTCTAAAAAATACGTATTTTGACAATAATATTTTAACTTATAATCGACTAACTGAAATAGACCTTGATAATATAGTTAAGGGAAAAAAAATTGTAAGTTGTATTTGACTAATAATAAAATAACTAAAACATAACGTTTAAAAAGTATGATATGATAATATAAATCAAATAATAGAGGTGCCGTTGAATTTATTTTAAATATAATCTAATTAATAAAATACTGTTTTTGGTGGACTTCATTTTTTTCAGTTGTGATTTAATTTTTTAAAATAACATAATTATTAAAATACATTTGTTGTTTATATATATACTAATCAAACCGAAGTCTTCTTTCTATCTCTATTTCTCTCTCTCTCTCTTCGGACGGAGCTGCCATTCCTCCGCTTCACTCGGGACTCGGCAACTTCACGACGTAGCTAATTCGTTCTTCGAATCTCTCAGAGACTTCAATCAAAAAGACAACACTCAAATCTTCGGTTTTAGGTACGTATTTGATTTGAATTCATATAGAAATTCAAATTAATGGGCATGTTATATTAGAGATTGGAATTGAAACTGAAATTAAAATATATCGCTGCTACAGTTCTGTTTTTGATTCCTATTTTTTAAGTCATAATAATCACTTGTAGTTTTGGACATTCTTAGAAAAGTATGTATAACTACTTGTATTATTTCTGTTTTAGTATTTTGTTTCTGAGTTTTTACTTCGATCGACTGAAAAAACAAAGAAGATGTTGTCTGTTAATGTAATCGAGTTTCTGTTTCTCACTTGTTTGAAGATTTACTCACCGATTTTAAAGGATTTTTTTTTAAATATATGTAATTATATAATATATAATTATACACTCTTTGAACACCTTTGAATGATGATCCTCCTAAACCAATTATTTCTTCAAGATCAAATCCTTTTCTGTGACTTTGAACACATTCTTTAAATATAAACAACTAAAAATACTAAAATATGTGGGCCAGTCATGAGTTCCCCCTTTATGTAAGTTTCTATCTTGTATACAAACAAAGCAAAAGTTGTTTTCTGATGCATCAGAATCCTACCACTTCAAGAGAAATTTTTATCTTTAAACCCGACTTTTCATCGGATGCTTTTTCCAAAGTTATACTTTAGTAGTTCAAATAATTTTTTCTTGCTGAAAACACATCTAGTTATATTTGATCTTTAAACCCTACTTTGTGTAAAATGAATAATTAGAAACAAGTAGGACTAGAAATTATAAATCTAAATTCTCTTCATATCTATTTCAGGCACCTCAACTCATAACCTTGTATCCATGGCATCGTATCTCCATGAAACCGTGCTTCAAGAAAACATTAACAAAAACGACGAATCCTCTCTCAAGAAATGGAATTCATCATCTAATTCCATTGATGAATCTAACAATGTACCTTCAGATAATTTCGATTGTAATATCTATCTAGATACAGTCCAAGATCCGGTGGTCACACTTTGTGGACATCTCTATTGTTGGCCATGTATTTACAAATGGATTGATCTTTCACACAAAGTAAATCCACTATGCCCCGTATGTAAAACCCATAACCGAAATATCAGAAAAAGCCCTAATTCCATTATACGTTCCTACCTCGACCGCAAAACCTAATACTCAAGAAAAATTTGTCCAGATCCCACGTAGGCCCTCTATGCCTAGTTGTGGGGTCCATGTCATGCCATGTCAGCAACATATTTTTCATGGCTTTCAACAAGAAGTACCTGACGTAACTTTACCAACAAGCCCGATATCCGGAATGTTTGGAGAAATGGTGTACGAGGGGATTTTTGGGAATTCAAGAGATTTGTTGTTTGGGTATGAAGAGTCATATGGTTTAGCCTGGCTTAGTACACAACGGGCAAGAAGGCAAACAGTTCGAGATGAGAGGTCGCTTGGCCGAATTTGTTTTTTCTTGGTATGTTGTGTAATGTTGTGTCTTCTCTTATTTTGATTATTTGATGACATGACATATTGTATCTAGAAAGTTGAAATTTTGTTATGTGTTCATTCACGAAATACACCATAATACCATATATGTGATTCATAATTATAGGTCATTTGCACATTTGTGACCATCATTCTCTTAAATTTTTGACAAAATTATGCAAATTTTTGACAGGATTAAATTGGTTATCGTGTTTTTTTACAAACTTACATGAATAAATTATAGTTAGTTGATCATAAATGTGCAAATGACCGATTTGGGAGAACCGTAGTCATTAGGTATGTTTTCTCAAACTTAAGGTTGTTTGAGTTTTTTACTAAAAGGCAGAACAAAGAAAAATCATGACCAACACTACTATATTAAACATATGCGAAAACGTCATTATTGGTTTCATTTTCACTAATTCCTTTGACATAAGCTTCTTATTCCTCAACTCATGCATTTCATAAAAAAGGTCTCTTTAGTAATATACATTAGTTGTGAGACCTATGTATTACATGAGTTAATTTTAAAAAAAAAGTTAAATAATGAATTATTATAATGAAAATGTTTTTTATCTTTTAAATTTAAACAAATAATTTAAATAAATAAAAGAAACTAATAAACTTTAATTTTGAGAATTTTGAAATTAAAAGGTAAATTTATTAATAAAATTAATATCCATTTATTACTACATTTATTACAACTATTACATTAAAATATTATATGAAATTTAATAAAATAGAAAAGCTCATAAAATGACATGTGGAAAAAAAATTAATTCAAAATAACCACAAAATGACATTTGACAAATTGAATGAGAGTGTGACAAGTTGCAAAAAAAAACATTTATTTATTAGAGAGGATTTCCTAATGGATGATCAATTCACTAGAAAAAAATTGTAATTTGTTTCAAGATTGTAAAAATCGTTTGGCGGTAGTTCGGCGGTCGACTGACGATAAGCGATTAATCAGACTAGGCGGAGATTAATCAGGGATTAATCGGGGACCCTTAATTATTAATAAAACTATTTAATAATTAATTTTCCCTAAAAAATTAAGTATTTGAAAATTTAAAATTTTAGAATTTTGAAATTTTGAAAATTTTACTATAATATTTTAAAATTTGAAAACTTAAAATTTTGAAAATTTTAAAATTTTGGTGTAATATTTGAAAACTAAAAATTTTGAATTTTATAAAAATTTCCCGAATGACCGCCGAGGACCGCCAAACCCGACTTTGACCAATTTACGCCAAGTACCCTAATCGTAATCGGTTCAAGACCGTCAAACGGTTAATCGCCGATTTCTGCAACACTGAATTGTTTGTGGATCATACACATAAACCATTTAATTTACATAGTTATAAAACTAAAGCTGAGTTCATACAATTTCAATTGTTTAATCCGTACATCCATAAAATTTCTGGACAAAATTGCAAAAATGGTCCCTGTGGTTGTCAATTTTATGTGTTTTTGGTCCAAAACGAAATGTTGGTGCACCACTGGTCCAAAATTGGATATTTCTATTGTTTTTGGTCCCTATCTACTTAAAAAGACCATTATGCCCTTATAATTTGTTTTTCCATTTTTTTATTATCTATTTTTATTCAAAATAAAAAAAACCCACCGTCACCCCCCCCCCCTCTCTCTCTCTAAATCTTCATCTGGTTTCTTATCTTCTTAAACAAACACACACACAAAATACACAAAATTATGAAGATCCTCGTCCGATGGAGAAAAAGAAATACAAACGGGAACAGCCCCAAGGTCGATCGATGGTCCAGTGGTCCAGCTCTTGTGCTCTTCTGTCTCGGAAGAAGGATGCGAAGGAAGGGGGCTAGGGGTTTCGAAGGGAAGTGAATCGGGTGGGTGGCATCGGGTGGTGATGGCTAAAGATAACGACGACAGCAACGGGGTGGTGGCATCGGTTGGTGATGGCGGAGCTGTGATGGCAGCGGGTTGCTCCGCCGCTTCCTCTCTCTTCTGTTAGGTAGCTTTACAAGGAACAGATAGAAGGCAGTAGCGGCGTTGGGGTGTTTGATGGTGGTGGGTTACGACAGGGGGAGGCGGAGGAGCTGCCACAGTCGACTGTGGTGGCTCTCTTCGCCGGAGAAGTGAGAAACGTGGGAGAGAGACGAGTTGGAGATGAAAGGGAGGTAGGGGAAGGGATTTCGACGGCATCGGCTATAGTCGATGATGGTGGTTTGCATCAGCGATGGGTGGCAGTCGACTTTTGGTTTTCTTGCTTACTCTAGCGATTCACGCCGGGAAGGGGAAGTAGCGGCCGGTGGGAGGTGTTGGTCGTTTATGGTGGAGCAAGGTGGCCAGAAGGATCATTGAGGTGGGCAGTAGAGTGGTGTAGCTTCTTCCTGCTCTTTTTCCGGCACTACAATGGAAGAGATGAGGGGTCGGTATTTTAAGAGTTGGGTAGAGAGAGAGAGAGAGAGGTGGATTTATTTTGTTTTTGTTTTTCATTTTATTTTAAGAATAAGAAAATAAATAAAAGAAATTTAAATATAATTATTTAAGGGGTATATTAGTCATTTTAAGTGGAATGTGGACCAAAAACACAATAAAATATAACCATAGGGACCAACCACAGGGACCATTTTTGCAATTTTGTCAAATTTCTGGATAGGTTGATCCTTTTTCCAAGATGTCCATGATCTTGAATTTTATAAATATATTAGGTTTGATTAAGCTAATATAACTCATGAGATACGAAAGATGGACTTGAAAATTACTCAAGTACACGATTGATCAATTGTATGAAACACTTGCCATGATTTGGAAGAAGCTCGTAAACCATCATCATTATTGATTGGAAAAAGCCAGTAAACCACACTCCGGTGATCGGAATACGCTTCAAAACCACACCTATTGATCATTTGATTGGAAATTCGGAATACACTTCAAAACAAGGAAGACATCGACTTCTTTGTGTATGGACTTTAGATACAAAAATAAAATAAAAATAAAAGTCACCGGAGGGGCGGAGGCAGTGGGGAGGCTAGCAGGTGCTTTGTCTCCCCCAACTTTTTTTTATTTGATTAGCAAAAAAAATTGTTTACTTTTCATAGCATTGAATTTCATCATTTAAACCCATGGATTTTCATCATTTAGCCCACCTGCCACCCCCATGGCCTAATTGTTTAATTTGTCTAATGCTTCAAGAAATTCGGCAATCACACTAACATAATCTTTTTTATAATATTCATCGGCAGACACAAATGGCGTCACTTTTACCCTCTACTTTACAAACATCAATTTCAATAACAAGTCATTTAAATTCTTATTAATTATTGCACAGTTAAGTTTTCTGTAAATTGTAGTTATTTTCTTTAGCAATATAATTTGGAAATGATATATTATGATTAGTTTCTTATTAGTAATAATAATATGGAGCATGTTCATAATACACACAACAACATGAAATGAATAGTAATATCGAAGAACCAACTAATGTTGAACTTGAAAAAAAACGATTTTAAGAGAGATAAATTCTTATTAATTATTACAACATAAAGCTTATGTTGAAGCTATTAAATGGCTCATGTTTCAAGCATGTGTTTTAAGATATCATGATTAGCGACTTAACTCAAGAAAGCAAAGAAATTTTCTTAAATTGATAAATTTGATTGCTTACAAGCAAGCATATTAATTAATGATCATATTAATGATCTTGTGTTTGAAATACACTTTAACATCTTATTATAACTCAAGTACTCCTTATTCTAAAATTCTAACTCCGTCCATGTTCACCTTAGTAATTAAAATTCATATCATCAAAGATTACATGTGTGACCGACTCTATCATGTAAGAATGATCGTGGTTTTACTTTTGCTAAAAATTGCATGGTTTATTTAAAAGAAATAAAAATTTAATGTTTAAACAGGAAAAAAAAATTGGTTTTGATGTTATTTTTGCAGCAAATATTTTAAAATGACATCCATTTTGAAAATACGAACTACTTTTACACCGCCGCGAAAATTCGCCGAGATGCGGCGCTGTAAAGGCTAAAAGCATCTGAAGTCTGAACTACAATACGCTCCGGTGGCTCCTCCGTCATGATGATGATAATGAAGAAATTGCGCACGCCTCCTTTAGCCTCATGGAATGAATTTTGTTGCGCTTCGTCTAGGGTTTTGCGTTACTCCACACAAACCCTAACCCCTAATCACGTAAACAGTACATCTTCAACTGCTACCGCTACCACTTTGTACCACAGACTCGTCGGTTTTCGAGAACCTTCAATTGTCCCGGTTCTAGACCAATGGGTAGGAGAAGGAAGACCCATCGACCAAGAAGATCTCCATCGGATTATTAAGCAGCTTCGGAAATTCAGCCGCTACAAGCACGCTCTCCAGGTTATATTCATCTCTCGAACTAGTGAACATGACATTATAAGTATTTGCTTAGTTTGATCCTCTTTGTGGAATTCATTGGGCTTTTTAGGAAATTAATTTGGTGGGTAATGTCTGTTAATTTTGACACTGTTGTTTGCTAGTCTAGAAGGGTTGATTCTTGCAATTCATTTCATTTGGCATTTGTTAGTTGTTACACAAGCTAGGATTTGTAACATTTAACAAGTTCACAGTTCTCACTCTATCAATTGGTAGTGGACCATTTTGCAAGGCCTTAAACCTAAAGTAGTAGACTGATCAATAACCTCCAAATCAGATTAAGACCATGGCTATAGTTATATGCAGTTTGTAGGCAGCAACTTAGGACCTAGGAGTGAAAATAAGTAGAAAAAGTTAGAAGTGCTATGCTATAATTAGATAGACTTTTCTAAGTATAATGCCTTAAAAAAAATTGGAAGTACAATGCTTGTATAGTTGTATAAGAAAAAATGTCAGCATGATGCTATATAAATGGTTAAATACAAGAAATAACAATGCGCCTTCATTGATTTGTTTATTATAACATCCTACTTCCATTTCTTTTTATTGCAACATTGTACTTTGAAAGACATTCCAAATTATAGCAATATTATCCAAATACAAAGCAATTTCTAAATCTATAATTGGATAGATTTTTTAAAGTGTAGTGTCATAATAAGAAAAAAAAAATAATAGTACAATGCTATATTGCTATATTTAGTTAGATTTTTCAAAGGAAAATGTCCTAACGTGAACCAAAATTTAGTTAGATTTTTCAAAGTATAATGTCCTAATAAGAAAAATATCAATAAAGGTACAGTGTTATAGTTATTTGATTCTTCAAAATAAACTTGTTAAAAAATAAATATGATTTTTGAAAGTACAATGTTGTAATAGATGAAATAAAGTACGTTGCTATTTCTTGCATTTAGCCTTATATAAAACCATCTTCTTTGCTAATAAAAAACATCATTGGAGAAACCAATCTTGATATTTACAAGCAATCCATCATTTGTTCTTAATTTCCATGACTTTTTCCATTAAGTCGTTTCCTGTAATTCTTATTACAGATTTGCCAATGGATGAACGACAAGCCTTACCTCGATGTTTCACATAAAAGTATTTCAGTCGAGCTCGATTTAATTTCAAAAGTTTACGGTCTAAAGCAAGCTGAGGACTACTTCAATAAAATCCCAAATAATTTACGTGTTTGGCAAGTTTATGGCGCACTTCTAAATTGCTATAAGGAAGCAAAATCATTGGAAAAAGCCGAATCCACCTTTCAAATAATGCGGGATTTAGGTTATTCAAAGTCGTTAACCTACAATGTCATGATGGGATTGTATTCCACTATGTTACAATACGAAAAACTCGACCTTTTAATGGACGAAATGGAACAAAAGGGTATACCTATCGATAAATTCACATACGCTATTCGATTAAACGCGTACGCGAAAACCTCAGAAATACCAAAAATGGAAAAACTTTTACTAAAAATGGAAGCGGACCCCGAGATCCAAATGGAATGGCATGCGTATACAACGGTGGCAAACGGTTACTTGAAAACCGGTGATCAAGAAAATATCAAAAAGGCGGTTGTTTTATTAAAGAAATCCGAGTATTTAATAAGACCAAGTCAAAAAAAGATAGCTTATGAAATTCTACTCACTTTATACGCTTCCGCCGGACGAAAATCCGATGTTTATCGCGTTTGGAAGGTTTATAAAAATATGGGGAAGTTTTATAATCATGGGTATCTTTGTATGATGAGTTCGCTTGCCAAGTTGGATTGTGTTGATGAGGTGGCGAAGCTGTATGAGGAGTGGGAAAGGGGATGTGTGTACTTTGATTATCAAATCCCGAATCTTGTTATTACGGTTTATTGTAAGAAGGGGTTGCTTGAAAAGGCGGAGGGGGTGGTGGAGAGGCTTGTGAAGGGGGGACATGAGCCGAATGCTTCAACGTGGTCTCGGATGGCGATGGGTTATGTTAAAAATGGTGGAATGGAAAAGGCGGTTGAGGCGATGAGGAAATCGATTTTGGGGAGTTATAAGGGATGGAGTGTGGATACGGCTACTTTAACTTCAATTCTTGAGTTCTTGGATCGGAATGGGAATGCGGATGAAGCTAAGGAAATGATTGGATTACTTGAGCGGAAAGGGCATTTATTGGAAGAGGTTTATGAGAGTATAGTGAAAAAATTGTCGAGGACATCTGTTATTGATTGTCAAGACTATAAGACAGAATAAAACATGTTGTATTGTGTTTGGGATTGGGACTTTGACTAATAATTCTTTTCAAATCTAGAAAGTTAGAACATGGTGAGATAAGGAACTCTTTGATTTCTTGTGTATGTAAAAGACATTCATTTGTAGACTGACTATATTTTCGGCAAATTCTTCTTTATTTCTAGACATTCATTTGTTGCAAGGTTAGGATGGTATCTATAAACATAGCTTATGTTGGACTGCGTTTCTTATTATTATCACTATCAGTTTCTCTTAAATTGTTATGGTCAAATCTCCTCTGTTTAAAAAAATAACTACGTATAGTCAAAAATAAAATATCAAAGGTCTTTTTATATGGGGCAAATAACCAACTCCGGTT